CGCTACATCTCGGGCAGCATCCACTACGCCCGCATCCCACGCCCCGCCTGGAGGGACCGGCTCCTCAAGATGTACATGAGCGGGCTCAGCACTGTGCAGGTGTAAGCAGCAAGAGCAGCCCTGACAGGCCACAGCCATGGTGGCCTCTCGTGAACCCTGGGGTTCCCAGAGCAGGGACAGAGGCAAGAGTATTGTCTGATCCCCCATGTGCTGATCTCCCCTCTCACCCCAGCTACATCCCCTGGAACTACCACGAGCCACTGCCAGGGGTTTATGACTTTGCTGGGGACCGGGATGTGGAAGCCTTCCTGGACCTGACAGCAGAGCTAGGACTCCTGGTGATCCTGCGGCCAGGGCCCTACATCTGTGCAGAATGGGAGATGGTGAGCCCCAGCCTGGCACAAGGGGGTGACGGGAGGCCTGGGAAGGGCACAGCAGGGTTGGCCCTTCTGGCTGGTTCCCTGACCCTGGTGCAGTGCCAGCCATGCCCAGGCTGCCGCCTTGCAGGGCACACACTGCTCCGGTGTCAAGCGTTAGCATTCCCTGGCTGGGTTTCGGCTCTGTGCCAGCCTGAGGTGCTGAGCGGTTTTCTCTCTGCTGCGGGTGTTTCTCCAGGGTGGCCTGCCTGCCTGGCTGCTGTGGAAACCAGACATCATCCTGCGCTCCTCCGACCCTGGTGAGCCTTGGCATGAGGCTATGGCCACTGTGTACTTGCAGTATAGTGCTACTCCTGGCACACCATTCTCTCTTCCCAGCCCCATGTGTGTGGTACCTTCCATCATCTCTTCCATCTTCTCAACTTGGCCCCGTTGGCTCCATCCTCCTCCTGGCAGAGCTGGCAGAGCTGGCTGAAGGTGGGCTGGGGTGGGTGCTGCAGCCAGGCTGAGCTGCCCCCTGTCCCCCCCAGCCTACCTGGCAGCCGTGGACTCCTGGCTCCATGTCCTGCTACCCAAGATCAAGCCACGCTTGTACCAGCATGGGGGGAACATCATCAGTGTGCAGGTAGGGTGCTGTGGGACCCAGCCCCCCTTTCCCTCCTCTGGGTCATCTTAGGATGTGCCCCAGAAAGCCACCTGTAGCCCCTACACCAAGGCCTCATCTGTCACAGCTCTTAAGATAAATCCCCCCTGACTCCTGGACCTGGGTTTGAATCCAAGGGCTGGGACTCAGGGATACCTGCCACCACCCTGCTTGCAGTCTGGGGGAGTGGAAACCTAATTCACCCTGCTCACAGGTGGAAAACGAATACGGGAGCTACTATGCCTGCGACTACGATTACCTGCGGCACCTGCTGGGCTCCTTCCGGGCACTGCTGGGGACCGAGGTGCTGCTCTTCACCACCGACGGGATGCGGGCAGAGGAGCTGCGCTGCGGCACGCTGCAGGGGCTCTACGCCACTGTTGACTTCGGGCCAGGTACCCGTATGGGGGAGGAGGTGGAGGAGAGGGACTGGGGGTCTCTGCTCCGTCATGCTCCAGTCTTCCTCCTCCCACCTCTGTAGGCTCCAACATAACGGAGGCGTTTGGTGCCCAGCGCCGGGTGGAGCCGAAGGGACCCCTGGTGAGCTTGGCGTGAGCGTTGTGGGGGTGAATGACCCACAATGGCTTTGGGGAAACAGAAGGGCTGGGGGTGAGACACAGAGGGGTGCCAGGGCCAGGCTGCAGGAGAGCAGGGGGGATGTGGCTGGCAGAGGGGAGCCTGGAGCCCCCAGTCCTGGCAGGTGACAGTCCCTTTCTCCCCCAGGTGAACTCCGAGTACTACACGGGCTGGTTGGACTACTGGGGGGAGGCGCACGCCAGCACCAGCTCGGCGCGGCTGGCTCGGGGGCTGGAGGACATGCTGCAGCTGGGAGCCAGCGTCAACATGCAAGTAGTCTTCTGGTGGGGGTACAGCCCGGGGAGGCAATGCCCTCTTGTCTGCCAGCATTGGAGTGGGCATCACCACTCGCCTTCGTCCTGCAGGGCTCAGGCAGGGTGAGGCAGCCTGTGACTGTGGGTGCAGCAGGGAGGGGGCAGCGCCTGGTGAGCCCCTGCTGGGTCTGTGGGGGTGCTGACGGGGCTCTCTGCGGTGTCCCATAGGTACATGTTCCATGGGGGGACAAACTTTGCCTACTGGAGTGGTGAGTAGAGCCCTGCCCTGCGGAGTAGGGGGCACACTCCTTTTGTCCCCAGGCAGGGGCTCCCATGTCTGGCTCATGCCCCTCCATTGCACTGCAGCCAGCCTGGGGCTGGGGTCCATACCCTGGGCTCTGCCAGAGCCCCTTCCTCCAGCTCCTGTCACTTCCCTGGCTAGGTGCTGACTTCAAGGACCAGTACAAACCAGTGACCACCAGCTATGACTATGATGCCCCCCTCTCGGAGGCAGGAGACCCCACGGAGAAGCTGTTTGCTATCCGCACAGTCATCAGCAAGGTGCTGAGCCGGGCAGGAGGAGGGGGACAGTACTGGGCTCTGCTCCCCGTGCAAGGGAAGAGGGGGACACAGAGGGACCTAGCAGGGCAGGGGACATCTCCCTGCTTGCCCCGGGGGGCAGCTGACAGTTTGCTGTTCAGTTCCAGCCCTTGCCAGCTGGTCCTATGCCACCCGCCACCCCCAAGTATGCCTTCGGCAAGGTGGCCCTGCAGAAGGTGAGTGCCTGCCCGAGGGCTGTGCCACCCCTGCCTGCCACTGCCCATCCGCCCCACAGCCGTCCCTCTCTTTGCAGTATGCCGACATCCTGGATGTCTTGGATGTGCTGTCCCCCTCCGGGCCCATCCAGAGCCAGTTCCCCCTCACCTTCGAGGCCATAAAGCAGGTGAGGGGCTGGGTGCTGGGTGCTCCTAGGCTTGTCTGCACTGCCCTGGCTGGGGGGTAGAGTAACAGAGCTCGTCTCCAGCCCCATTTCCCTTTCCGTGCCACTCAGCTGTGTCCTACAGGCCCATGGCTTCGTGGTGTACCGCACTCGGCTGCCCCGGGACGTCCTGGAGCCAGCCGTGCTGAGTGCTCCTCCCCACAGCGTCTGTGACCGTGGCTACATGATGCTGCAGCAGGTGAGGCTGCAGGAGCGCACCCATCCCTGGTCCAGTGCTCGGGAGGGCTGTGGGACCTGCCAGCACTGGGACCCTGCGATGCCAAGGTCTCAGGGACAGCCAGGGTGCTGAGAGCCACACTGAGCCCTTGTGGGGTAGCCCTCTGGCACAAATTTGCCCTCTTTGGAGGCAGAGGGCAGTCCTGGGCTGGTGCTGGGAGAGCAGGCAGCAGGATGCTACACTGGCAGGCTGCCGGCAGCAATTGGGATGGTGGGATGCGGGCACAGGGCAGCAGCAGTGACCCTGTGGCTGTAGGAGTACCAGGGAACACTGGAGCGGGACGGCCAGACAACACTGAGTGTGACGGGCAGGGCAGGGGACACCCTGGACGTGCTCCTGGAGAACATGGGCAGGATCAGCTTCGGGGCCAACGTCAGTGACTTCAAGGTGAGGGCAGAGGGCCCTGGGGCTCCAGAGGGGATGGCCTGGCCACCTTCGTGGCCCTCCCCTCCTGCCACTTGTGACACTCTAGCCACAGCAGGGCCACCCCCAGACCTGCTCCCTGGTTCATCTCACACCATCCTCTGGCAAACCTGCCAGGACCAGGAAAAGGCTGTGGTGTCAGCACCCCTCTCTCCTACTGACGCTGCCACAGCAGCCATAGCAATGCAGCCCCTCAGAGGGGATACCATCCCACCTTCACTGCTGCAAGGGGGACGTGCCCTGGGAAAGCCAAGCATCCTCCTGCCCATGGCAAACCCTGCTGCCTCATTTTCCCTCCTGCTCCATCTCAGGGCTTGCTGGGAAACCTCTCCTTGGACTCCAGCCCTCTCAGCAACTGGCTGATCTACCCCCTGGCCATAGACGCTGCCATCCAGCAGGGCTGGCCCCACACTGCCCTGCCAAAACCAAGCAGCAAGGGCAGAGCAGGGCCAGCCTTCTACACTGGGACCTTTGAGACCCCTGGTAGTGCCTGGGACACCTTTGTGAAGTTGCCAGGTTGGAGCAAGGTAAGTGGTGGCACAGCCAGGAGAGGGGGTGAGGGGGGAGAGGGCACTGCTCAGTCCCATCTCCATCTTCCAGGGCCAGCTGTGGATAAACGGCTTCAACCTGGGCCGGTACTGGCCCCGCCGCGGGCCCCAGCAGACCCTCTTTGTGCCCGGCTCGCTGCTGCACGTTGGCCGCCCCAACAACATCACAGTGCTGGAGCTGGAGGGGGCACCCCTTGCCCCCTTCCTGCTCTTCCTTGACCGACCCCTTTTCAACAGGACCCTCAGCCACAGCACCATGGTCACAGAATAAACGTGAGGGTGCTGGGCACCGGCATCACTTCTCACTGGGGTTACAGAGATAGGATGGGACTGGTGAAGCTCAGAGGACAGCAGAGGGGCTGCAGATGTCCCAGCATTGACAGCCAGAGCTCCAACCCTCGTCTGGGGCCAGGATTGAGCTTGTTTTGCATGTTAGTCCTAAATAGTTCCAGTGCTGATGCTGACACTCCCCCTGCCTAGGGGGTCAAGGCACATCTTTATTGACAACATAGGCAGAGGAGGTAGTTGCTGACATGATATGGTTTAGACACAGATGGCATCCAGGAGAGGAGAGGGCAAAGCACAGTCCAGAGGGTGCCCACAGGCATAGTTGCAGATAGCTTAGGGCTGCAGGGTCCAGACAGGTCAGGATCTGTCCCGTGGCCATGGGTAGCAGCCTATGAGGTAGCCATGAGAAAAGCCAGCAGCAAAATCCCCCTAGCTAGAGCCAGGCCACAGAGCAGTCCTGGCCTTGTCAAGCTAGCACATTGGGACCTCCCGCTTGTCATGTCCCCAGAGTGACATCCTTGCCCTGAGCTTTGCCAGAGTTGCCTCAAAGAGTGACAGGGCCAGCTCAGTCCCTCTGCCCAGCGCTGCTTCACAGACTCTCCCTCGCTGCATAGCCAGGGCTCGGTTGTGTCCCCACCACATTGGTCCTTGGCAGGTGGCAGCAGTCCCCAGCCTTATGTGTGGCCAGCCTGGGCCCGGCGGTGGGTTTGCAGGCAGGCCGTGGAGCAGAAGGAGAAGTCAAGGTAATGGAAAGGGATCCGGCCCAGCAGGGACTCTCCACAATGCCAGCAGCGGCTGCAGGAAAGAGCAGAGGTGGCCCTGAGTGAAGAAGACACTTGCAAGAGGGTTAAAGGAGGATTCACTGCCTGGGCTGTGACATGAGACAGCAGCAGCACAAGGGAACTGGGGCTCCTCTGCTCCTACAGGGCTCACCCAGCAGTTTGGCCAGGACATGCTACCTGGAGGTGATGCTGCATGGGGCGAGGTAGTTCAAGGCAGCCTGAAGATGGGGATATTTGGCCCCATTGGGGTTGTAAAACCCCTGCTCAGATCAGCACAGGCAGGGCTGGCTGCCCATAAACCTGTGGGGTGGCATAGGAGAGGGACGTGGGGGACAGGGTGAGGGGCACAGGAGTGGCTGGGGGGTTGGCTTGCCACAGATCTGGCTGCAAGTGGACCAGCTCGTCCTTTACAAAGTATTTCAGGGGGGCAGGGGAAGAGAGAAAGCTTTTAGACAGGCACTGCTGGGAATCGAGTGGACAGGAATAGCTTTAGACTGGAAATAACTGGAGCAAGAAGGGCAGGGAACAGCTGCAGGGAGAGTCTGCAGAGCCACGCTGCCAGGGCTGGTACCTGATGTTGCCAGGAGTTGTGCTGGTGTCCTGCAGCTGCGCAGCCAACCTCCGCTCGGCAGCCAGGGCCCTCTGGGGAGCAGAGAGACAGCTCAGTCCCCCCTAGCCTCTGAGAGCTGCTGTGCCCAGAGCCCACCACATCAGCACTGCCCCAGCTGGGCTGGATCTCCTTCCCCATGCACGGCCTCACCTTCTCCCTGTCGGACAGGGCTGCAAACCGCTGCTTCTCTTCCTGCTCCTGCTGCCAGCGCTGCCGCTCCTCCCGTTGTGCCTGCTCCCGCTGCTTCCGCTGGGCTTTCTGAGCCCGCTTCTTCTCCAGCTTCTTGGCCTCCATCTCCTGCGTGAGGGGCCCTGGCACCTGTGGACAGTCAGCATCTCCCACTGAGCCAGGAGCAATGGCATGAGGAGGTGAGGGTGCTAGGCTCCCCCAGCCCCTAGAAGGCAAGGGCAGAGGGCAGGTGCCCACCTTAGCACGGCTGTAATCGTACTTGTCTGGATGGTCCACCATGAACTTGCGGAAGGTGTTGCGGGTCGGTTTGTCAGCAGAGAGGCAGTAAGGGGTCCTGTCCTGCCTGTCCCTGTGAGACAAAGAAGCCCAGCTCACCCTGCCATCTTACTGCCTGTGTCCCACTGGGCTGTGAGCCCAGCGACTCCCCAAGGATGTTCAATGTGTACTGCAGGCCAGGGTATCACAGCCAAGGAGGGGAAAGTTGCTTATCGCTACACCAGAATCCTCCAAATCCTCCCCTTCTTGCATCTCAAATGCCCTGCAAAGGGCAGTCTCATCCCTACCCTCTGAACTGCCTACCAATAAACCTGGGAGCACTTTGGGGCTATGCCCCCCAGCTGCTGTGTCAGACCAGGCAGGCACAGAACGGCGATTCAGTTTTCAGGCTTCCCATAACAAACCCAGACATTCCATCTGGGAAAGACCAGCCCCAGCTGTCCCAGGACAAGGCTGGCACCAGTCTCTCATGGCTGAGACAGAGCAAGTAGCTGGGGTCCCACAGCAAGTGCTGTTGACTGCTGGAGATGCCCTGCGGTCATACCTGAGGGCAGGATCTGCCCCTGCTTCCAGCAGCAGCCACACAGCCTCAGCCTTCCCAGCACGTGCTGCCACATGGAGCAGGGTGCAGCCGTGCTCATCCATGGGCTGGTTGAGCAGGGAGCGAGGCGTATCCAGGGACTGTGTGCTCTCCCCATCCTCACGGTCCCCCAGCAGGCCCCCACTCTCTGGCACATCCAGGAGGTACCGCAGCGTCCCCACATCCCCCATTTTGCAGGTAGTGAACAGGGCATCACGGAGCCGGGTCTGAGGGTCTCCTATGAGGGAAGAACAACAGAGGAGTCTGATAGCTCCCTGGGCAGAGCGGTACTCTAGTCTGACCAGGAAACCCACAGGGTGCAGTTAAAGCATCATCTTGCTAGCTGGATTTGGATCTCCAGCACTGTCAGTCTGTGACAATGTCCCATGGCATTGCTGGGCACTGTTAGCAGCGACCAAGCCCTCTCCTGAGGTGAGACCCACGCCAGTACTGCTCCACACCCAGGGCTCTGGGCTCTCTTCCCCCTGCTGCAAAGCCCCCAGCAAATGTGGCAGGCATTCACCTGGCCCAGCTCCCAGTCCTGCTTACCTCCATCGCCCCAGGGAAGGGGCTCAGCCCCAGCCTCCCCCTGCAGCTCTGTCACCAGCTCCAGGCTGGGCTGCCCGCACTGGGTACCTCGGCATCCTGAATCTTCAGCATGGGGCCCTGCGCAAGCAGCACATTGTGAGGAAGAGGGCCAGGACCAGCCTGCACTCAAGCCACGGCAGTCCCTTCCCCAGTCCCTTCCTACACCGTCTCCAGCCAGTTCTACTCCCTCACCTTTCTCCACCTTCTTGTCCCTCTTTTTCCTCCTTTTATGGTGTCGCTTGGGCATCACTTCAAACTCCCGAAGGTCCAAGGTCCCCAGTGTAACTTCCACAGTCTCCAGTTCCCCTGCAGGGCTTTCCTCCTCCTCTTCCTCCTCAGGGGCTGAGGAGGGTGATAAGACAGGGGCTAAGGCCCCACACAGAGCACAGATCACTTGTGGCTCTCAACCAAGCAGACTCCACCCTTCTCCCACCCAGCACAAGGCCACACTCTGCAGGTCCCTGCTGTGGTGCCAGGCCCCGTGCCATCACACCAGAGCCCCCTGCTTGCTCCATGGCTCAACTCACCACTTGCGTCCTCCTGCGGTGGATCCATCTCTGCTTTCTGACACCTCTTTTGCCAGCCCTTCTGTGGTGACCCAGTGATGTCCTCCAGTGGCGTGTCTTTCCCTGGGCAGCAAAGGCGCTCCTGTCATTGCCTGGGGACAGGGAGCACCCCATGTCTCCAGGGATTGAGGGTTGGAGAGCTGGCACCTCAAGCCCATCAGGCAGCATCCCCTAACACACATGAGATTACACGAGCGACCACGTCACCCCACCTGCTCTGACCAACAGGCACTGGGGCTGGTCTGACTCACCATACACCTGCAGGCTGGCCAGCGTGGCGTGGACTCGCAGGACCTCTCGCAGGGTGGCCCTGTGGGTGCTGAGGGGAATGTGGCAGATGCGAGGGTCGCCTCCGTTAAGGGGTGGGTTCCTGCCACTGAAGAGCAGTGCACGGTTGTGACGAGGGGCTCGGAGGAAGATGCGCTGAGCTTCATTCAGGTGCTGTGCCCAGGCTGTCAGCAGGTTCTGAATATCCTGAGGAGGAAGGGGAGGCACTATGGGGTCCTGAGCACACTGCATGGGACCAGCTAGCTTTGGAGCACAGACAGATACAGGACAGAGCAGCCTCAATTGGGCCCTGACCCTCTTTCGGAGCTCACATCCCACCCCTGCCCTGCAGCAGTCTTGTGGTACCACCCCACAGAGCCAGCCACGACCACATCTCCCTGCTGAGAGCCCAGTGCTGTGATGCACCCTCACCTTCAGCAGTGCAGCCTCGTTGTAACGCCGCAGGGAGGCTCCGGCTGACCGAGGTGCTGACCCTGGGCTCTGGGCGTCCCGCAGGCCCTGTGCTGTGCCTCGCCGGGCTCGCACCGTGTAGCGGTGGAAAGTCTTGTGCTCTTGCACCTGGGGACTGCAGAGAGGGGCAAGCATAAGCAACAAGGCCCCATGCATGGAGAGGAGGTGAGCTGATGCTCCTGGGACTCTGGAGGGTTTGTGGCTTGCCCCTGGGGCCCTAGTGCAACTGGGCTTAGCCAACTCTGAAACAAAGATGAGGAGCTGTGGGTGCCCAGGGTGTGGTAAGCACTGCGATGGAGGAATAGGGAGGGGATGGCCATCCAATGCCTAGCCCCACTTGAACCTGCCCACAGGGGCAACCCCAGCTCTGTCCCCCTGTACTCACCCCCGGAACACAGCTCCTGCAAAGTGCCCGCCGCCCATCATCAGCACAACCCAGCAGGTGCTTGCACCAAGGCGCTGCAGTGACGCCATCAGCTCCGCTGGCTCCTCGCTGCCACCCTGAGACACAGACACCCCTTCTAGCACCCACAGGCTCACCCTGCCACCTCTTGCTGTTCCCCAGTACAGAGGCCAGCCCTTCAGCTGGCAATGGAAGCAGGTTTCCAGGAGCCAAAACCAGGCCACAAGCAAGCCTGGAGCTCTGACCTGACACCAGACTACCCTTCCGATCACGGGACACGAGGGACTGTCAGACACATCTACACCCCAGTGCCACCCTCCTTTGCTGGGGTCCCTCTCCCAACAAGCTGGGTTGTAACTTGCCTTCCCAGTGCCCAGCACACAGCGGTAGGCAGAGATTAGCTGGCCGTTTGCATTGCGGAGCAGCACCTTGTGGGACCGGGGCACCAGGAGGGTCTTGGGGCCATCGCTGGCAGAGGGCAACAAGTCCAACTCACTGCTGATATCAGAGCTATCTGAATCAGATCCTGAAATGCTGGAAACATCACCTGCAAAGGAAAGAAAATGAAGCAGTGGAGCAGAACAAAGATTAACAAACAGCCTCCTCAAAACATTTCAGGTGACTGCAAGGGCCAGCCTACGACCCCAGAAATGTCCTGTCCAGTACCCTACATATCACAGGGTGGCTATGGTCCTGGCTTCTGGAGCTCTGGACCCCCAGGTATGCCCAGGCAGGGGCTCAAGTAGAACACCTCCTTCTCACCACACGAAGCCAGCAGGGCTCAGAGGCAGTGCTGCATCCCCAGAAGACCCCACAGGGACAGAATAAAAGGATCCTGATGTGGCAGAGGTAGCCAGAGACTTCATCCCTGCATAGAACAGCCCCAGCAAGGCTGCTGACAGCCTCTGGGCTGTGCTGGGGGCAGTCCCATTCCTCACCTGCACGGGTCTTCTCCTCAAAGACTTCTACTGGCAGCGTCTGGCGCCCCAGGAGTCGCTGCTTCAGGTTGAAGCGGTGCCAGTCGAGACGGTAATGCTCAGTCTGTGGAGGAAAGTGATATGAGCTGGCAGGGTCTTGGTGGTCCCTGGAAATCCCCACCACCAAAGGCCCTGAGGCGACAGACTCCAAGGGCTGAACTGATGTTGGGACTCTGCATCACTCTACATAACAGTGAACCTGAACAGGCACAGGCCAGTGCTGCATGTACCATTTAACTCAAATAAATGGCATTTTAAGCTATAACATATGGGGTCTGAGTGCCAAATCCCAACAGGAACACGGGTAGCAGAGCTCCAAGGAAGCAGCGAGCGCTGTGTGTGCTGCGCTGTGCTGGGGCTGA